ACTTGCCTCAGCAGATGTATACATACATACATAGATACATACAAACATACATATATACATATATACATATATATATATATATATATATATATATATATATATATATAAATATATATATATATATATATATATATATATATTATAAATTAACTCGTTTAAAATATGTTTTTTTCACTACACAGTGATAAAAATATCAAGAAATAAAAATATCAATAAGAACACCGGATTATATATTATAATGTTCTTTCTTTTTATTGATATATATATATATATATATATATATATATATATATATATATATATATATAAATTATATATCTTAATGTTCTTTCTTTTTTATTTATATATATATATATATATATATATATATATATATATATGAAAAGAAAGAACATTAAGATATATAATCCAGTGTTCTTATTGATATTTTTATTTATTGATATTTTTATCACTGTGTAGTGAAAAAAAATATTTTAAACGAGTTAATTTATAATATACATATATATATATATATATTTTTTTAAGACATTTTTATATTTATACATTCTTTTTTATAGATACAAATATTTATGTAAATGCTCTGTTTTTATAATAAACAGTATTAAACAACATTTACCAGTCTGAATGTTTGAGATATTGTCATAAAAAATATTCATCCTCCGACAGGAATCAAACCTGTATCCTATAAGGAACTGTCATATAGCCTGGCATGCTTTTATCGATTTCACCACAGAGGAGCATTTGGTTAGCAAGGTTGATTTTACTGTTTTTAAACTACAATCTTCCATGATTCTTTTCCCGTACATTCATACACATGCTCGATGCGTATCTAGATGTAAACAATTGACATCACACATGATATTTGTATCTATAAAAAAGAATGTATAAACATAAAAATGTCTTAAAATAATTGTCAAACTTTGTCCATTTCATAATGTGTGACGTCATTTGTTTACATTTGGATACGCATCGAGCAGATATGAATACACATGAATATAATTAAAATACACATTAAAATAATTGTCGGACTTTGTCCATTTTATAATATATATATATATATATCCAATTGTAAAAGAACGAACAGTAAGATTTCAGCGTTCAAAACATTAATCTACAACAGAGCTCAATACAAAAGTAGAGACGTAAATATTTATTTATTATGCAGTGTTACATTAGAACATGCACATACCCACTACAAATCTGTACAACTTGTTTTAACATCAGAAAATGTTTTTTTAACATTTCAGACCTAAGTGGAAGATGTGCTTTGTTAACTGCATTTTGGAATAAAATATTTTAGTAGCATCATAATTTCCCACCTGATGAAACGCTAAAAAAAATTTTTAATGTTGAAACAAGATTTACAGTTTTGTAGTGGGCATGTGCATGTTCTAATATAACACTGCATAATACATATATATATATATATATATATATATATATATATATATATATATATATATATATATATATAAATATAATAAATGGTGGACTCTCTCATCATATTCCTAGGAACTGACAGCCAGATACCAGCACATATGATTTTGATTATAGTGCTGATGGCTTTGTGCAGAACCAACCACACTTTTTGAAGAGCTGAATACAGAGACCTGGTCCACTACATGCCACAAGGTCCCCAAATGTCTCCCCACAGGTTTTGAATTCAAAGTTGTCCTCCTCTTGGGCCTAATGCCATCCAATGCTATAGAACCCAGTCTGTCCTGTTATTTACCCATAGCTGGAGGGAGAAAAGTATTAATACCTTTCCCAAGGGTTTTAGCACATAAGTGAATGTAATGGATTTGACCGGAATTTGAACTTGGCTCTCCAATTCCTCAATCCAGCTGCTGTCCACTACTCTGCTGTGCCTCCGTATATATATATATATATATATATATATATATATATATATATATATATATATATATATATATATATATATATATATATATATACTTTCTCTTGTTCTCTGTTCAGGATATGTTTTACCAGTTCCCTTTCTTTCTTTCATTTACTGTTATGGAGTGATTTCACAGTGGAGGCTTGTATTTGTACTAAGTCAGTCCTAAAATAGGTTCGACGTTCAAAACGTTAGGAACTTGATATAATAGGTATAATGCAGAGTAAATCTAGTTGTGGTCGCTGATAGTTTAGTATTCGACTAACTGTTGTCCGACATTGATTGACAGACCGACTCACTGCATGACTGACCGACCCACTGCGTGACTGACTTGTTACTTTTACTACTCCTACTTATTATAGGTGGGAGAGTCTATTAACTATAGAATAGGTGTGTTCCACTATAACACTTACCACGACCACAATGATTTAACTGTCTTAACTTTTTGGCAATCAGAATAATGGCTGTAACTTTCCATTATGACGGTCCTTGGTTGGGAGTTTGCTGGCTGCTGCTGCCAGCTGGTTCTTTCAGAGCCTGAACTCTTTGGTAGCACTTGGAAAGTCTGTTCCAATCAACATTTGCATAATATTGGGGCATCTGTAGTTCCATGATGCTCCTGGGTAGGTGTCTCTGTATGTATTTCCAGTGGACAATCCTGAAGTCGTATTATTCTCTGCTTTCAGCTACACACTAGTGGGTTTGTATTGCCATTGACAACAGATAGTGACAGTTATGGTGGTCTTTTGTTTTTCTCTCTCTCTCTCTCTCTCTTCAAAACAGATCACATGGAAATCACAGCAAAAAGAAATAAAACTAAACCAGCCTAAAAACTAGCCCCCCCACCTCAAACTTTCTTTCTCCACTATTCGAGGTATCTGTTCCAACTTCCACAGCATAGAATCTTTTCTCCTCGAAATATCACCAGATATCTTTGTCCTCTGTGAAATTCTTTCATTGCTACCAATGAATTCTTGGTTCCAGGGTACCTTCCCCTTTGCTGAAAAGATTCCAGCATAGCATTGCCTTGGTCTCTAAGACCAGGATAATCATCCAGCAGCCATGGAATTGTCTCTTGAGACTGCTGACTACTCTTTCATGTGCTTCTGTCTTTTGCTACTAAACTCTGCCAGCCATCTCTTTTTTCTTTACTGCTCCCCCTTTCCATGACAGCAGTATATTAGATGCAATAGTTGACAGTATAGAAAAAGTGCTTTCTTCCCATCCAACTGCAAATGTATTTGTCTTCAGTGACTTTAATACTCACCGCAACCTGAGGCTGAAACATTCTAAAAGGAGGTACTGATGTCACTAGTATACAGACATTAAATTTTTTCCATTGCCCAATCTCTTACTGATTCATTTTCCTAGCCAAACTAAACATCATGCTTCTCTACTGAATGTATTTCTTACCTCCTCTCCTCACTCTTGCCGAGCTTCACAATACTTCCCTCTTGTTAATTTGGACCACTCTGTGGTAGCTATTGATATCTCTTTCCAAGCGTCCATTAAACAGGAAGCCCCTATCCATGAAATCTTCGTCCGTTACTAGTATACTGATTGGGGTTCATTCCGGGATTTTCTTCATGATGCCCTTTGAACTGATATCTTCAACCAATTGAAAATTGCACCACTGATATTTCTTTTTGGGTCAAAGCCGACATGAATGCTTTCATCCCTTCTTGGTAATACCAGGTGAAACCACAATCCTCTCCTTGGTTCAGACCAGTGTTTGGCCACCATAGCACACAAGAACCACTATTTCCAGCTATACCAGTGTGAGACTTCTCATAACAAGTACTACTGCTTGTAACAAATGTAAGCAAGTCCTTGAAAAAATTCCCTGTTTACTGAGGGAATGACACACCATATAAGCACTAAAAACTTTGGCCCTCATGATTACTGGCATTTCTGTAATAGCATACTAAATAAGAGCAAGGTCTCTATTCCCCTCCTCTTCAATCAATTTGAGGTGTTATTATCCTTCGTTGATAAAGCTGAGTGTATTGCCTATAAATTCTCAAATTCTACTCTTTATCCTTGGCTAACTTCCCACTTAGAACTGATTCTCTGTAGTGATATGCATATAATCCCTTCCATGGTTTTTGCTATCATCTCTAACCCTGATCCCCACAAAGCATGTGGACCCGATGGTATACCTTTCATAGTCATCAAGAAATGTGCTCCTGAACTAGCTCTAGTTCTCTCTAAACTGTATAATAAATGCCTCATTGCCTCCTGCTTGCTGGAAGTCATCATCTGTTGTTCCAATTTTTAACAACTCTGGAGAACCATCTGATCCATCCAACTATTAGCCTTCTGTCTCTTTTTGGGAATGAGGCCCTAATCAATGCTGAATTGGTTCATCTTCTCTCATTACAGGGCCTTTTCTCAGAGAAGAAATGCAGTTTTCATTTCTCCAGGTCAACTGTTGATGTACTAACAATAATTGCGGAAAGAGTCTAGATAAAAATGGTGAAGCCCAGGCTGTAACATTAGACATCTTGAAAGCCTTTGACATGGTCTGGCATTCAGGTCTTCTCCACAAGCTGAAAAGGTACAGTATTTCCGGGCATATTTTTGCACAGATCCATTTGTTCAAATGTGTAGCCATAGGTTAAATAGTTGTATCTGAAAAAATAATTATTATCACCAAATATTCACTTACGAAAAAAACACAAAATAATTCTTCTTACAAGTCAACACTATACTTTCAGCCTTAAATAATCTAGAAAAAACAAATCAATCAGTATTAAGAAAGCATCGACATGTATAATAAAATCTGATGGAGTGTACAAAATGAATAAGGAAAAATTCCATCTTTAGCAGAAAGTATGAACATTCTTGTGAAAAGAAAAGAAAACAATTATTTGGATATGAGGTGGTTGAAAAGGTCAGTTATAGATAGCCAGTCATTATGTAACAGATGAATGGAGACAATGCTATTCTGCCAAATGTTAACAAATGATTTTCTTTGTAATCTTTTACTATGATCTTGACATTAAACCTTAAATGGTTTCAGATTCTAAGTGACTTTCAAAGCATGTCATCTATGATGTCCGAACACATATTTCATTTTTATATGCCTTCTTGTATTCTTTCAGAGATGGAGAAAGAGAGAGAAGAGAAAGAGAGAGAATAGAGAGAAGAAAGAGAGAGCATAGATAGAAAGCAGAAAGAGAGATAGACAGGGTAGAAAGAGAAAGGGAGCAGTAAATAGAAAGAGATAAGAGAACAGAAAGAGAGAGAATAATGTGAAAGAGAGTAAAGAGAGAGAAAGAGGGCAAAGAGAAAAGAGAGAGAACTGAAAAAGATGAGAGAAAGTAGAGAGAGAGAGAGAGAGAGAGAGAGCAGAAGACACAAAAGAAAGAAAGAGAGATAACAGGCAGCAGAAACAGAGAAAGAGAAAATCAAGTGAGAGTAGGGAACAGAAAGAAAGAGAAAACAGAGAGTGAGTGAGTGTAGAAAGAGAAAAGAGTGTGTGTGTGTGTGTGTGTGTGTGTGTGTGCATATAAGAGAAAGAGAGAAAACAGAGAGAGAAGGCAAAGAGTAGAAAGAGTGAAAGAGAAAACAGAAAGAGAGAGTGTTGAGAATAGATAAAGAAAACAGAGAAAGAGAGAGAGAGAGAGAGAGCGAGAGGGCAGAGAATAGAAAAAGAAAACAAAGAGAGAGAGAGAGAGATAGTAGAAAGACAGAAAGAGAAAACAGAGAGAGAGAATGCAGAGAGTAGAAAGAGAAAAACAGAAAACAGGGAAAGAGTGTGTGCATAGATTAGAAAGAGAGAAAGAGAAAACAGAGAGAGATAGATATATAGATAGAGAGAGAGGGTGCAGGGAGTAGAAAGAGAGAAAGAGAAAACAGTGAGAGAGATAGTGCAGGCAGTAAGTACATAGAGAAAACAGAGAGACAGAGTCTGAAGAGTGTAGAAAGAGAAAACAGAGAGTGTGTGGTGAGTAAAAAGAGAGAAAGAGAAAACAAAGAGAGTGAGAGGGAGAGAGAGTGCAGATAGAAAGACAAAACAAAGAGAGTGAGAGGGAGAGAGAGTGCAGATAGAAAGACAAAACAAAGAGAGTGAGAGAGAGTGTGCTGAGAGTAGAAAGAGAAAACAAAGAGTGAGTAAGAGTGTGCAGAGAGTAGAAAGAGAAAACAAAGAGAATGAGAGAGAGAGAGGGCGCAGAGTGTAGAAAGAGAAAACAAAGAGTGAGTGAGAGTGTGCAGAGAGTAGAAAGAAAAAACAGAGAGAGAGTAGAAAGAGAAAACAAAGAGTGAGAGAGAGAGTGTGCAGAGAGTAGAAAGAGAAAACAAAGAGAATGAGAGAGAGTGTGCAGAGAGTAGAAAGAAAAAACAAAGAGAGAGTGCTGATAGTAGAAAGAGAAAACAAAGAGTGAGTGAGAGTGTGCAGAGAGTAGAAAGAGAAAACAAAGAGAATGAGAGAGAGAAAGTGCTGAGAGAGAAAGAGAAACAAAGAGAATGAGGGAGAGAGAGTAGAAAGAAAAAAAAGAGAGAAAAGAGAAAAAACAAAGAGAAGAGAGAGAGAGTGCAGAGAGTAGAAAAAGAAAAACAAAGAGAGTGCTGATAGAGAAAGAGTGCAAAGAGAGTAGAAAAAAAGAAAAACAAAGAGAATGAGAGAGAGAGAGTGCAGAGAGTAGAAAGAGAAAAAAAGAGAAAGGGAGAGAAAGAGAGTAAAAGAAAAAAAGAAAGAGAGTAGAAAGAAAAAAGAGAGTGAGAGAGAGAGTGCAGAAAGTAAAAGAGAAAACAAAGAGAGTGAGAGAGAGAGAGGTAGAAAGAAAACAAAGAGAATGAGAGAGAGTGTGTGCAGAGAAAACAAAAACAGAGAGAGAGTACTGATAGTAAAAAGAGAAAACAAAGAGAGTGAGAGCAGAGAGAGAAAGAGAAAACAAAGAGAATGAGAGAGAGAGAGTGTGCAGAGAGTAGAAAGAGAAAACAAAGAGAATGAGGGAGAGAGTGCAGAGAGTAGAAAGAAAAAACAGAGAGAGAGTAGAAAGAGAAAACAAAGAGTGAGAGAGAGAGAGAGTGCAGAGAGTAGAAAGAGAAAACAAAGAGAGTGTGCAGAGAGTAGAAAGAGAAAACAAAGAGAATGAGAGAGAGAGAGTGTGTGCAGAGAGTAGAAAGAGAAAACAAAGAGAATGAGGGAGAGAGTGCAGAGAGTAGAAAGAAAAAACAGAGAGAGAGTAGAAAGAGAAAACAAAGAGTGAGAGAGAGAGAGTGCAGAGAGTAGAAAGAGAAAACAAAGAAAGTGAGAGAGAGAATGTGCAGAGAGTAGAAAGAGAAAACAAAGAGAGTGAGAGGGAGTGTGCAGAAAGTAGAAAGAGAAAACAGAAAGAGAGAGTGCAGAGAGTAGAAAGAGAAAACAAAGAGTGAGAGAGAGAGTGCAGAGAGTAGAAAGAGAAAACAAAGAGAGTGAGAGAGAGAGTGCAGAGAGTAGAAAGAGAAAACAAAGAGAGTGAGAGAGAGAGTGCAGAGAGTAGAAATAAAAAAGCAAAGAGAGAGTGAATAGAGTAGAAAGGGAAAACAAAGAGAGTGAGAGAGAGAGAGTGCAGAGAGTAGAAAGAGAAAACAGCAGAAAGTAAGAATGAGAGTAGAGAGAGTAGAAAGAGAAAAAAACAAAGAGTCCAGAGATTAGAAAGAGAAATCAGAAAATGAGAGAGAATGAAAGAGTGGAAAAGAAAACAGAGGGAGGGCAGAGAAAGAGAGAGAGAGAGAGAGAGAGAGAGAGAGAGAGAGAGAGAGAGGCAGAGGCTGTTATTTATGCTAGTTTGATGCTAGTATTGCAATCTGAAAGAGATGTCTTGTAGAGCAAGTGTCAAGGTCATTTTTCGAACTGCTTCCTCTCTTTTCATAAGGAATGGACATTTATATTTACCATTCTTTTATTACAAGAATGCAGTCATCTTCTTGCTTTTTACCACAACACTTGAGTGCATAAACACACTGACTGCTTAAGCAAACAGAATATTATTATTATTGTTATTGTTTATAACTAACCAAATACCTGTCTTGCAAACATTTTTATTAATAAATCTATTTTCAAGTGAGCTGATACAAAAGAAAAGATGTGAAATTGACAGCTTTTTCCATTTCACTGAAACAGCCATTAAACAATTCAATCTTCCCTTCTTTCTTTCTTTCATTTTCTCACTGAAACCAAGTAGCACCTCTGATATTTCATTCCTGTGTTTTAATGTCACTAAAACGAAATAGTCCATTAGTTATGAGATATTTGGCAGGGCGTAACGGTCGTGCAAACAAGCTAACAAACTAACTAAGAGGCAAGCAAAATTATAATTATAATAGAGATGATGATGATGATGATGATGATGATGGCGAGGGGGAGGAGGAGGAGGAGGACTTGGAGGAGGAATATGAAGCACTTAGAAATAGAAATGCAGAAAATGTGTCAAATGAAAGGTACAGCCATCCTATCCCAGTAATCAAAGGTGCACTCGGTCCCATGACCAAGGGTGTAGACAACTTCACCAAGCAGATACCTGGGTGACTTTGTCTCCGAGAAAGTCAAAAAATCATAATTACCAGCACTGATCCTGTTTGTAAAAGAAAAGATTAGTCATCACCTGAAAAATTCCACCAAAATTATTCAGATAGGCAAGCAATTTTGTCAAGAACCTCGAGATGAATAGCAGGAGCACCAGACCAGATATGGCAACAGTATTCAATGCACGGACGAATGGTAGATTTGTAAATATGCAAGGTGGACTCTAATAAGGAAATTTTTTGGCACAACTCAGTAACCCACTTTTCCTTGCAGTAGATGC